AGTTTCACTATGTTATCCAAGCTGGTCTCAAGTGATCCTCCTACCTCAGCCTCTCAAAGTGCTGGGATTATAGGCATGAGCTACCACGCCCAGCCCTCTACCTCCAGAGTGCTATGAATGCTGGCTGTATAATCATTCCCAGCACAGTCTTATTGTTTAGAAAGAAACCGAAGCTAGCGTTTACATAAAACTTCCACTATGAGTTTGTGAATTAGAAGATATGGTCTGTGGCTAAGATACAGTTCAGGAACCTGGAACAGGTAAATTTCTCATTTTATAGTCAAAATTTGTCAACTTCAAATGAAAGAAAGCTATTCAAAAGTGTCAGTTAATACGATCTGGCACAGGGCTTGAGGCTCATGGAGAAATCTTTGCCTTAGCTTCACAGAAGCAGTTGTGCATTTTGCCGGGGAGTGAGGATCAGTGTCTTAAATACATGCTGTGGAGAGGCTTGTGCATGCCGGGCACCCGAGTCTGAGACAGATAAAGTGGAGGCAACTGAGAAGGATCCTCCAAGACCTTAGGTGAAACCCAGAGACTGTTTAGAAGACTCTTCTGTGGCACATCTGGCCCCAAAGGGTTGTTATTAACGAGCACACTGCCATAGTCTTTAAATGACAGACTTCTGCCTGCATTCAGAAAAATCAAGGCTCCAAGAGCCTTTGTCATGCAGTGCTCGTTGACTTTTGAGAGTTATTTTTTATCCTCATTTTGGTCGTAAACATTGTTTTTCTAAAGCTTATTTCTTAGATACAAACACTGTTTTTCTAAAACTCTTGCATAAAAACTACCTGCTGTAAGAGTATAAAGAGGTGAAAAGTTGTGTTGATTGATTGATTGATTGACTGATTCATTGCCCAGTTTTCTATGCCACAGACTGGAGACTTTGGGTTCATTTGTGGGACAGCCAGAACTCAGAATGCTGAGTATATACCTGAAACTAGCTAATCTTGCCTTGGCCAGGAGAGCCCAATGACAACAACTCACCCAGATCAAGCACGCCCTGCAAGTCGGGAAGCGGCTTTCATTCACTAATGCCTTTATTACTGATGATAGTCCTTGAAAGTAGAAGCTACTATTCCATAGGTAAATGGATACCCAGAGCAGTAGAAACCACAAATGGAAAACCAAGGCACAGAGAGGTTAGGTAACTTGCCCAAACTCACACTGCTAGTAAGATGTTTCGTGGTTCATTTTATTGACTGCACTGCATCCATTTGGGCTAGCAATAAAATTTGTCATGAATCAATAGGAGAGTGGAGAGAGACTCTGGAGATGAAAAGCCAATCTGGAAACTATTCACAGAATGAGTGACAGATGATGAGGGCCTGGGCCCAGGCAGGAGCTGTGGAGGTGGTGGGTCAGGGGTAGATGGGAGGAGGTGGCAGCAGAGCTGCTGCAGAGAGAACATCCATGCGACACGGTTGGCATTGGACACGAGCAGGTAGCAGAGAGAAGGGAGGTTAGAATGATTCCTGATACCCAGCCTGCCCATCAGGATAGATGGCGGTGCCATGAATCAAGGGAGGGTGTGCAAAAGGAGGAGCAGGTATGGGGAGAAGAGTTAGTTCAATTTGACATCCACATTACAATTAAGATTCAATAGGTAAATGGATACCCAGATCTGGAGCTCAAGAGAGGACTGGGCTGAGGATAGAATTTGTGAGTCGCCAGCAGATAGGCGGAAGTTGGACCCATGAGACTAGATGAGAGCACTCAGCTGAGTTGAGAATAGAGGTGCCAAATAAAGACCACCATGTCACGTGCAAGCAGATGGAGAAGGGGCAGAAGAAGCTGAGAAGAACTCAGCAGAGAGGTCAGAGGGAGCAGGTGGAGGCTGGTGGCACAGAAGCCGGGGGAGAGTGTGCAGAGCGGAGGCCCAGCACAGGAATCTCCCCAGAGAACCAAGTGAAATGAGTGTTAAGGCATTTGGCAGTCAGGATGCTATGGGTGGCCCTAGCACGAGCAACTTGGGTGGCATGATTGGGGCAGAAGGGATAAAACTGTGGCTTGTGGGTAAGAGGAAAATAGGCTTGGAGGAGCACAGAATAGAAGATGGGCAGATGCTTGCTTACAAAGTTCAAATTATTGGATTCCTACACTCCGTATTACACTCTTTTCCATCTTTCTACAGAGCCTCCCAAATGATCATTTTAATGACTTTACTGTGATCATAGGTAACATTTAATGAATACCTTCTATGAGACAAGTACCTAACTTCAATATTTAACGTCTTATAGCAAGTCTCTAGAGTAGACAGTATTATTTATCTCTTCTTTAAAGATGAGAAAAGTAAGGCTTAGGGAGATGACACAACTCATCCAACCTGTAGAGCTGGTGAAAAGGAAACCCAGAGTACAAACTGGGGCAGCCTGGCTTCGGTCACTTTGTGCTTAAACACTACACCATAGGGTGATCTGTTGCCACAAAGAAACATCATTTACTACCCATTCTCCTGGTATTATACATCTAGGTGGTTTCTGCTCTTTTGCTATGCATGTAACTTTAAATTTCTGCTGAGCTAATTAATACATTTCTTCAACAGCCAAGTGTTCTTTCAGCCCCATCTCATTGCACTTTTGTCGCAGAGTTGACTGATTAGCACACACAGCTCTGTGGGTGGGCTAATTTACAAAGCCAAATGCTGGGAGCCCTCCCCCTCTGAAAAAAGGGGGAAAGAAAAAAGAGGCATTCATCCAGGAAACCCACCTGGTTATGTCCTAAAATATCAATGCTTATCCAAAAGAACCGTAAAGGAAAATATAGAGCTGATGATTGAAATGGCTTAATACAGAAAACTATCCTGCACACAGCAGCCAGTGCTATCCAGCATTCTAAAATCATTTCAAAATATTTTTCAAGGCTTTTGTAAATTCCTTGCCAAAATAGATGAGAAACACTACACTTGGCAAGACAAAGTTTAACCCGCAAGAACTCAAACAACAGTTCATAAAGATTAAAAAGGGCAATTTTATACATGTATGTAACCCACCAGAAAATTTCAGAACATGAAATCTTCAAGATAATTCTTAAATTAATACTGCCCCTTTATAAATGCTTTGTGTCCAGGAACTTGAACTCTTTAGACTTCTCCAGCCTTCCCAGCACTGTCATTCAAAGACCTCTGTAAGATTAGGATTTTCAAACGTTCCTAAGGCTTGAATAGGAAATACATTTTACATTTTGGCTCAGTTTAGGCCCACACATCTGTGCACACATGGGGTCGTACACACACCCAGACACATTTCACTGAAATAAATTTTTCACAATATCCTCACCATGTGCAATTAATATTTTCTCTTCTATTTCTTAAACATTCTGCTCCTATACAAAATTGATTTCATGAGGGCTTAAAGGGTTGCAACCTACAGCTGAGAAACCCTAAGTTCTAAAGGATCTAAATTAAAGCATTCTTGCCAGAAGATCTGCATGAGGAAGAATCTGGAGTTGGTGTAATAGAAGGCATATGTGATTTGGAATTAGACAGACATGGGTTCCAATCTTAACTCTCTGGTTTATAAACCATCTGCCTTTTGGCAAGTTACTTGATCTCTCCAACCCTCCCTTTCCTCTGCACAGCCCTCTGGGACTGCTGGGACAATTCACTTAGAAGACACCCATGGAAGAACCTACCACTTCGGAACATTCATTCATCTGACAAATACATATTGAGCAGGGGATGTTGTCCTAAGGGCTAGGCAGACAGAAGTGAACAAAACCATCATGAACTGCTTTCATGAAACTGGCATTCCAGGGGGCACAGACAGACGATCAGCAAATTAACATAGAATATATCAGGGAATGAGAAGGACTGTGTTAGTTTCCTCTTGTTGCTGTAATGAATTACCACAAACTTAAAGGTTTAATCAACAGAAATCTATTATCTTACAGTTCCAGATGTCATAAGCCCAAAACGGGTCTCACTGGGCTAAAATCAAGGTGTTGGCAGAGCTGTTTTCCTTTTGGAGACTCTAGAGGAGAATTTATTTCTTGTCTTTTATAGATGCTAGAGGCTGCTCACACCCACTGGCTTATGGCCACCCTCCATCTCCAAAGCCAGCAACATTGGGTTGAGTCCTTCTCACACCCAGTCACTGTGACTCTGCTTCTATCCACACATCTCTTTCTCTAGATCTGACTCACCTGCCAAAACTCACCTGTCCTTCCTCTAGGAAGGACCCATGTCATTAGATTCAGCCCACTGGATGATTCAGGATACTCTCCCCATCTTAAGATCCTTAATCACATCTGCAAAGTACTTTCTGCCATGTAAGGCAACATAGTCACAGGTTCCAGGGAATATAAATAAAAATCACCTATAGAGGTGTTCTTTATCTTCAGCTGTGAAAGCCTTGGCACTGACATACTTACTCTTCTCCATTTTAGCCAATTACACACAACCCCAAAGGGTTTGTGGTTTTTGGTCCTCTGTAACGCTTGGTAATTCATCTCTCGAGCCCAGGCTTCTGAGCAAGTTATAGCTACTGAGTGAGCCTAGCAGACAGCCAGGGATGTGCATTCCAGGGGCCTTTCATTGGTCTTGCCCTGTCGACACTTATGTTAAGTAATTTTCCAGAATTTGTCATTAGTGTCTTCATTAATGAGCTCTGGGTACCAAGTGGGAAGAAAACACTTTAGTGGACCTGGGAAAAGATTGACTTGTGGTGTGAGGATATTCCCAGAAATGTGAGAAGGACAAAAGCCCAGATCTTGAATGAAGTTATGTTTGCAAATGTGGGGCTGTACTCAGACCTCAGGGTGTGTCCTTCACAAACATCAGAGCCTTCTGTGTGTATGTCTCTTCTTCTCCTCCATTCACAAAGCTCCAGTTTTGAACTAAGGGACTGCAGAGTCACTAATCCCATCACTACCATATTGGCAATGTTGTGTTGTTCGCCTGACTGAAGCAGCACAGGAAGTTCTGTGTGCCTATGGGGCAGCGAGGGGTAGCCCCAGGTCTGCTTTCAATATGTAATCTTGGTGCATTTGTTTTATTTCAGGGAAAACTCGATGCCTTGTGGGTTCTACTGAGGAAAGGATATGATCGTGTTTCTGTAATGCGTCCACAGCCAGGAGACACGGTAGGACTGGTTAATTCATTAATGGTGTCTATCGGTCTCTCTGTCCCTCTCTCTCTCTTTCTCTCTCCCTCTGTCTCTCTCCCTCTTTGAAGAGCTAGAATAACTTTGGATTCTAAAACAGAGTTAGGGTAACTCCAGATATACAAATCCAGCTATTATTTCATGTTGCAGCAAATCAGATACCAATTTTCAAAATGTTGGTTATTACAAGATCTTGAGTTTTGATTTGCTTTTCTGAAAAGGATTTTGACAGAAATAGGCTGGGTTTAACTTTGTAGAATTTGAGCTTCTCAATGTATAAGCACAGTGAGAGAATAAAGCAGGACTGGCCCCCACGTGGGGCCGTTTCAGTGGGGAATTCTGCTGGCCATCGGCCACACAAGCCAGTGGTGCAGAACAGAGTGCCAGCACTGCAAGGATGGGGTGAGGGCAAGGAAGCGGCTGTGGAAAACACCTACCATTTCCCAGCAGGTGTTGGGCCCAGCTGGCCCAGGACCACAGAGGGATCTTTCACCCCAGGTGAGGATTTGTCTAGGCACCATCAAGGCTAAACTTGGAATATCTCTAGCCAGCAGAGACCTTAGAAACCATCCAGCGCACGGCTTCATTTTGTAAATGAGGAAAGAAAAACAAACAAAAACAAAAAATCACCTAACTGCATTCTCCAAAAGACAAGAGATGTTGAAAAGTTTGTTCTGGTTCAAATGTAAGTAACAAGTAACAGTGGAAACAACCTCAGTTCTGCCGAAATAACACTATTGCTATTTGTTTATGTAAGAGCTAGTCTCTCTTCCACAAGTTTTACAGACCAAAACTTGGGACCAAGTTCTCCCTCAACTACCAGCAACCTGCATATTCCAGCCACTTCTTTGGGAATCAGGCACATTAATCCAAAAGCAAAATAAAAGTATCTCATTTAGAACTCTTTCCAAATCAAGCAGACTTGGGTTTGAACCACCCTTCCTTCCTGGCTAGAAAACTCCAGGCAAATTACCTGACCTCTCTGAACTTCATCCTTATAAAGCAGATGGCATGGACCACTTCCTACTGTGACTGGTTGGAGAAGGTAATGTTTGTAAAGCATTTGGCCCACCGCTGAACACATGAAAATGCTCAATCAGGCCGAGTGTGATAGTTCATACCTGCAATCCCAGCACTTTGGGAGGCCAAGGCGGACAGATCACTTGAGGTCAGGAGTTCAAGACCAGCTCAGCCAATATGGGGAAACCTCATCTCTACTAAAAATACAATAATTAGCCAGATGTGGTGGCACATGCCTGTAATTCCAGCTACTCATGAGGCTGAGGCAGGAGAATTGCTTGAGCCAGGGAGGTGGAGGTTGTAGTGAGCCGAGACTGCACCAGTGCACTCCAGCCTGGGCAACAGAACGAGACTCTATCTCAAAAAATAAAAAATAAAAATTGTTTTTAAAAAGGAAATGTTCCATTGATGGCAGATATCCTTATGGTTATTTGCTGTGTGCTGTTCTGCTGTCTGGGGATGGTTGATGCGGAACTTCAAGCCATATTGCAGTTGGTATGTGTGTTCTGCTGACTCTCCAGCATGGCACAGCTAACATTAGAGCAGAGCCTGATAGACAGGCCCTGCCACCTCCGCCCCTCACACCTGGTGACAGTGGGTGGTTTGCAGCTGAGGAGGTTTGGTCTAAAGTTTCATAGCTTATGTGAGCCATTGCCCAATTAGCTGTTCCTGTTGTGACTAAGACGGCAGGCAAGTGAAAACGTGAAACTAGCTCATATAAATGCTGGGTTGACTTGGCCCTCATCACAGATGAAATTTGACCTTTTGTCTGTGACAGTCAACAAGACCAAATTTTTATACCAAATTTTAAATTAAAATGCTACAGTTAGGAGAAATGAACATAGATCATAAAGTTAGTACTCGGGGAGGTGTTTGGTCTTATAAAATATATATCTGCTTTCTATGGGAAATGAAGAAATCTTTTTAGCATGCATGAGACTCCTCTAACAGATTAAGAAAAAATAATAATAAGATACCTAAACTAAGGTTCAGCAGTACTATTTTTTGTGATAGAACCTGCTGATACAGTGTATGATCCCATTTTTTTTTCAGAGCAATTGAAAAACATCTCCACTAAAATATGTTAACATTCCATTTTCCATGGACCAGTTTGCCAGAAACAAATTCATAAACTGGGTCAACCTAAGAAGTGGGAGGGTTATAGGAAAGAGGCTGGACAGAAAGAAATATTATCATTTATAAGACAGAAGAATCAATGCCGTTTGAGAGCAGAAGGCTGGTTACATAAAGCCAAGAACAATGGAATGAAAATAAATGGAACTTCCTCTAATGAATCACACCTAAATTGAATCTCTTATTTACCAATTCTGAATGAAAGTTTGTATTAACAGCTGAAGATGTTCATGTGAGAAACATTTTTGAGAAACACAATGCTACCTTGAACTTTTATTCTCTAGCCATGCAAAATAATAGATTTGCAATACAAGAAGCTTAAGAATTTGGATACATTTGAACATACTGTCACCACTGTCACAAATTATAATTATCCAGTTTACTTTTAAGTACCCTTTGTTTGTGGGAGTCTTGCTAAAGTGATAAGATACATGAGAAAAATAGATGCAGAAAATTGCGTCCTTGTTGCTATGGCAACAGCCACATGATGTACACATGGAGTTACACAAGAAAGGTCACAGATGAAGTAAGAGCCAGAATTCAGAGCTGCCTATGGCTACTCCGGAAAGAATTCCAGGGGAAGGGTGGGGGGCAATATTGTAGCTTTGTCTACATGCTTCTTCTGTTTTGTTTTGCATAACCTTAGGAGACTCACTAGAGACCTGCGTTGCTTGCATGGTGGTGAGTCTGTAAGAATTCTTCAGCACTGATTTATGGAGCTAACCACATTTTCCATAAACTCAAAATGACTCCATCCAGGCATGTGCTCATGAACAAGAGTCACAGGTTCTGAATTTTTCCTTTAAAACAAAACAAAAACAAAAATCACCTAATTGCATTCTCTGTTACATTCTAAGTTGCTTCAAACACATGTTGACCTCACAGAAACCTGGCAGATTTTCCTCCTCAATTCCTGTCTCCTTCATCCTCCCCCTAGCTACTCCACCCCAGTCCTCTAGATGCAGACACAAGCCCACCAACAGAGCCTCTGAGGCTGCTGAAAGGCCTCCAGCCCCAGCACAGAGGAGGGGTTTGGGGAGCCAGAGCCCAGAGCCACCGCCCTTCCCTAGGATTGGCACCCACCTCCTCAGAGCCATCCAAGCCCCAGGTCAGCAATGGCAGCAGGGAGCACGAATGTTTTCCATCTGCCATCACCCATCTCCCTCTTTCTGCCTGCGGTGGGTTCATGGTCCCATTGCTCCTTGGAGCCCACCAAGAAATACTTGGGCCATCATAAAAGAGAAAGTGCCAAAGGAAACCACCTAAATAGCAAAGCAGTAGCACATCTGATTCTAAGACTTTTAAAGTTTGCTAAGCATGTGGTGTCCCCTGCTCCCAGTATATAGCCACCACAGTGCTCCTTATAAAACCAAACCTCAACACACCATGCCTCCACTTCAGACTTGCAAAAACTGTTGGAAAACCCAGAATCCTTAGCTTGATTTAGAAAGGCATGCCTTTCCATATCATCCGCTGCTTACCCCAGATTCCCTCATCACCTCCAAATAGGCTCTGAGCACTTGGAATTAATTGCTGGCCATGCCCTGAACATGCCAGGACATTTCTGTGCCTTTGCTAGATTTCTCTGCTTGGAATGCCTTTCCCATCCTCTCTACCGAGTGAATATATTTTTTTATTATTACTGAGGTAGAACAATTTTTTTAAGTTTATTTTCTCATTTGTCAATTGGTTTGACATGTCTCATTTTTCCACTGGATATTTCAGTGTTGGTTTCATATGATCATTTAATTAACCCGTCTTCATTCATACATTAATGAAATGTTTTGAAAGTCTACTATGTGTCCGATCCTGTGCTTGCACGGTACTTATGACGTGGTACTTATTAATGCTTATGACATTTAAAGTCTAACCACGTATCATATATCCAAAGTTTTTTCTAGTTTGCCATTTACCTTTTAACTTTTTAAAAATGCATTGAAGTTATCTATGATTTTATAGTCAAATCTATAAGTATTTATGATTTCTGCCTTTGGTTTCAAATTTAGAGTGGTCTCCCCTACTTCAAAGAACATAAATTTTCACAAAAATTTTCTTCTAGCCCCTCTGTCTGCTTTTGATGGTAATGTGAATTTGTCACCTTTTCTGTATCCTCCTGAGTATTTTAGTGCAGGTTTGGGAAAGGCTCTTTCGGAAGCTATGGGCCATATGTTGTATTAAACTAGAAGTACTAGGAAATTATCTTAAATGCCTTGAAGTGGATGTATTAATAGAAAGTGACTTGGATTTACTCTGGGCCATCCCAATGAAGAGAGGTAGCCCCACAGGTAGAAACAACAGTGAAACAAATTTCATCAGGAAGAATTGGAGAATGCAAGTTTCAACAACGCAGCGGGCTGCCCCAGAGACTAATGTTCCAGGTGACTAATGTTACCAAATACAGATCAAACGGGTTAACCACTAGGCCAGGACATAGTAGGGGGTTCCTGTAGCAGATCAATGGTTCTCAAACTTAAGCCTCAGAATCACCTAGAAGGTTTGTTAAAGCACAGCTTGCTGAACCCATGCTTGCAGTTTCTGATTCAGAAGTTCTGGAGTGGAGCCTGGGAATTCACATTTCTGACAAACTCCCAGGTGACGCTGCTGTTGCTGCTGGTCTGGGGATTATACTTTGAGAACCAGTAAGATAAGGAACCAGACAAACTTCAGAGTACCTCTCACCCTGAGAGTTTAGGGTTCTAAGCAATATTTCTATACTGATTTGACCACTAAGCCCTCCCTTTTCTATATTTCTCCATAAAACACCTATTGACACAACTGGGGAATAACTAGTCTACCTTAAATCTAAATATTAAGCCCCATTGAGTTGTAAAGAAATCCTTCCCATCTTCAGACCTTCTGTTCCTAGATTATGAATTCCAAACACAGAAAGGTAAGGGAATTCAGAGATCACAGCATGAACCCCACTGGTTTTCCATCTGCTTGCACATTGTTATCACCTGGGGAGATTTCAAGGTCCCACCCCAAAGGTTCTGTTTAATTGCTCTGAAATAAAGTCTGGGCACTGGAATCATAAAGGCTCCCCAGGTGATTGTAATAGACATCCAAGATTGAGAAGCAGTGAGCTGGTCCAATTTCCTCTTTTTCACTCAGGGCAGCATATTCTCTTTCCTTCTTGAAACACTTTAAGGGAAACTCTCCACATTCCTTCAGAAACCCTAAGAGTAAGATAGGCTGATCACAGTCTTCACGTGCTTTTAACAGTCCCTTTCCTATCAGGAAGATGGTGAACCTAGACTGAGGCTGACATGTCATCGTTACTGCTTAAGAAGATGGAAAAGAGAAAAATAGAACTCGGCCTCATATGTCTTTTCTGGATGGAATTTAATCAATCTACCCACCAGCCTGAACCCTCCCCAGTCACTTTTACCCCAATTTAGACTCCACCTCACTTCACGTGCTTCCGGAGAACCCACTGGGTTTGTATGTCATCTGTTTTCAGATCTGGCATCAGGAGGCTGGTACATTCCATTACTATCTGCAAGAACAAAATACTAAAGCTCACTCAGAACTTGTTTTGCAAGCCTGGGTCTCTTTGCAACCAGAAGAGACCCAAGGAAACACACACGTAAATGTACATAAACAATGTTTGAAACTCATCCGAAGTAAAGCCTGAGAGGTTGTGAAATCCTCCCCAGCTGTTTCCAATAAGGGCGTGAGGCCAGTCACATGGGCACCAAGTCTCCCTCCTGTCACAGAGGCAAGAACAGCCTGTGCAGGTTATCCCCCAGGAGAGGGATCGTCCTCTGCCTGCTCCTTCTAAAGCAGATAAGCCTCCTGTAGCATAAGGAGGCCTCAGAGAAAGTGTCTGCACTCTTGCTTTCTCTCTCCTCTCTTCTTTCTCCTTCACATTTCCTTCATTCCCTTTCTTCTCACCCCTTTCCTGTTTTTCTTTTCCCTGTTCACTGCCAATTTCTAAGGCCTGTCATGGTTGCTTTCCCTCAACAAAGACCAATTGCACTCCTACTAAGAATCCATTTCTGGGCTGGGCACTAGGGATATCCACTGGAAGAGGACTAAATTCCAGCTCCCAGGAGTTCATGTATGTATGTATGGTGTGCAAGAGAAGATAGTGTCACCCACTGTATGAACTGCAAATGCTTACAGAAGCACAAACCCACTCAAGATAACTTAGGGTAATGATAATCTCCATTTTAAAGAACAGAAATTGAGGCTCATGGAAAATTATTAACTTTTCCAAGGACACACAACTGGTAAGGAGGTCTGGGCTTGAATTCAGGACATTCAGACTTGAAAGTCAATACAAGGGATTCCTGAACTCCTTCATGCATTCAACAGATACTTTTTAGACATCTTCTAGGAGCCAAAGGGCACTGTATTAGTACTTGGTATACAAGAGGAATGAATGAGTCCTGTCCCTGCCCTTGAGGAACAGGGACAAACAGGAAGCCCCCAAGCACTGCCTGGTGTGAAAGTCTCTGTGAGGGGGCTTCACCCAGGAAGGGCATCTCACCAGCCTTGGAGTCCATATGGCTTCTTGAATGGACATTTAAACTGAGACAAAAAGGAGGGAATGGAGTTTGGGGAGAAAATATTCTAGTGGCAGGGAAGCTTGGGTACAGATCTGCAGGTGAGACTATGGCTCCTTCAGGGAGACACAAGGAACGGGGTACAGAGGAGGACAGAGTGGGTGGCAGTGGGAAGAGGGACTGTGTTGAAGAGGCACCTGAGGTGCCGGCCATGGGTGTCTGGTCTACCAGCCTGAGGAGGCTGGACTCTACCCTTAGGACAGTGGAGCTTACTGCAAGAGTTTTAAGCAGAGGTGCAATCAGATGTGGGTTTTAGAAAGGTCACACTGGCTGCAGTGTGGGTGCAGTGGCAGTGAGAGAGGCTGGCCGCCTGAAGCGCAGAGTGGTGAGCAAGGAAGAGCCTAGATTCATGAGATGCTAAGCAATTAATCACAGATTTGGTAACTGCCTGGGTGTGAGGATGGGAGGGTAGAAGGTGCGGGGGAGGACCTCCAGGATTTGGCCCAAGTGACAGAGCTGACTGTGCTGCCATTCACCAGGATGAGGAGAGCTTTGGGAGGGAAGTTGAGGACCTCACTTTTTAACTTGTGGAGTTGGTGGTGCCTGTGAGACATCCAAGCATCCTGTAGCAGGTCAGGACCAGGGTGAAGCCTGAAGGCATCCAGGGCAGGTACTCTACGGGTTGTTCACTGTCAGGGTTGTGTGAGAGCAGGGACCTGAGAGTACATGCCTCCTTAAATTTTGTGCCCTAGACACCTCGCATGCCTCATCCTAGTCTTAACCTGTTCAGGGGGCAGTTTTGCTCCAGCGAGAGTTCTGGATGGGGGCAAAGATTTGAGAGTCATTGGCCATGGCAATTGAGACCAATGTGAATAGAGGGGATACCAGGGAGAGAGGTAGAGAGAAGAGAAATAAGCACTGAACCCTGAGAGTCACATCCTTTAAGTCAGGGTAGAGAAAAGAAATAGAGCAAGACGGAGACTAAGAAGGACCAGCCAAGAGAAAGAGAAGTCACAACAGGAAAGTCTGGGGTCATGGAAGCCAAGGGAAGATAATACATTACGGAGGAGGGTGGGGTGTCAAATGATGGGAAATTAAGATGCAAACTGAGAGTAATCCTCTAATAAGATTAGCAGTAAGGAGGTTATGATGCCCTTAGTGACCTGAGCTCTGTGGGATAATGCTGATGGGAGCGAAGCTTAACAGACAATGGGAGGGAGAGCCAAGGCAGTAGCTGGAGGAGATCCTAGAGTTGGAAAGGGTTCTTTGTCTTAGTAAGACTTGAGCGTGATTAAGTGCATATGGCAGAGACCCAGTAGAGGAAGGGGTTGAAGGCAAGAACTCATTGTTAGACTGCAGGAACCCTTAGGAGAAGGGATTGAAGGGCTTAGGAGGAAGTGCCAGTCCATTAGTGACATGGGTTGCAGAGCCCAGGTATGAGTGAGAGAGCAGGAAGTGAGGGCATTCCTGTGGGATGTGATGGGCTCTATTCTCCCTGCGATGCCGCTGCAGGAGTGGGGCAGCTGGAACTGGAGTTCCTGGAAACAGCCACACCTTGGGAATCCCATTGCTCCTGTGCTGACAGCACTTCTTCACGTTCCAGAGTAAATGTCTCAGGATTAAATAAAATGATAGATATAAGTAATTTCAAAAGATGGGACTTTATTTTCCTCCCCTCCTTCCCCCTGAAAACTGCCATTGATTTCAGCTCAGAGAATTTTAGTTAACTCTTAACCTATGGAAAAAACTTTTCTTCAGAATTATTTTATGTTCAAACCAGCAATGACCAAAAGAATCAAGTTCTCTACATATTGAAGTCTTGCATGAAAGTCATTTTTCTTGCACAATAAACCATTAAGTTTATATTAGTTTTTTTACATTGAGTAAATAGACATCTTCAGAATTCCTATCTGACACCAGGTATAAGGTCCCAACAGATCTAGAGGGAAAGTCTCCTGACCGTTTATGGATTTTTGTAAGAAATGGATCATTTTAAGAAAAAGGAAGAAAAAAAGAAGAAAATTATAGAAAATGTTCCTAGAGGGTGTGATTTATTCTGGCACAGCATCTTCCCTGGATGTTTGAATTCTCTGTAGTATTCATTCAGCTCTCACCCTTGGAAGCCTCTCCTTTGCTGTCTCATTGGAGGGGGACATAAGTACTTAGAATTCTTGGCTCAGTTCACTGAATTTAAGGAGGAAAAGGTTCAAAACACTCTCTGTCCATAGCAAAAACTAAACTGTGCCCAAAACCTGAAAAGTTAACTTTTTTCAGAGATGTTAAACCCAAAGTTGATGTTACAAAATATACCGTCTTGGGATGTTTTTTTTTTTTTTTTTGGCACCAGCTTTCTTCTCCCATGGTAGGAAGCGTCTCTGAGGAAGTACATATGAAAGCAATTGCTGTGGTTATCTTCCTCTCCCTCTCTTCCCCCCGCCTTCCAGTCCCCACAATCTGATCCCTTTTTCCACAAGCATTACATGCTCACATTCACACACATTCCTCCTCCTCCTTATCACCATCACCATCATCATCATCATCATCATCATCATCATTTTGTAGCTTCTTTCAACATGTAGGACTTTCAACTTCAGATTGTCTCATCGCCCAAACAGCTGCAACAACAGAAGGTTAAGTCCTGAAATCAGGTTGCAAATAGCAAATAGAGGAGAAATAAATGCTAAGCTGAACAAGACAGGGATGAGAATAAAACAACCCTGTTCAAATTCTCTGACCTCATTTTTTCCCTTCCAAACAAAATCGAGAGGTAGGGCTTAGCACTAGGGTCAGAATTTTACCCAAGTGTATAATATTTGAGGTTTGCTACTTTGTCCAAGCATGATGTTCATGTCTAGCCACTTGGCTTCTGTGAGCCTGATCCTCCAGCTGATGGCACCAGAAAAGATCATCTCGGGGGACATTTGGCATCTCTGTGATAGGCCTCAATTAAGAATCATTAGAACCCAGGCTGGTGGGAAGTTCTGTCCTGGCAGAAAACTATTGGGTTAGATTACAGATGGCAAAATCTGACCTAGGAGATGGGCTTTTGAACATTGTGGGAAAAAGCCAGCCTGCTATAAAACTTCCACCCACACCCATCTTCGTTTGGCATCTCCATGACCACCCCAACTCAACCTGACCCTCAGTCTTGGAGATGGACTGGCAGTTCCTCATAATCACAGACCCTGCATTTTAGAGGCACCAAAACTGAGGTCTGGAAAGGTGGTCTGGAGAGATTCCCAAGCCCTCCCAGGTCCATTATCTCAAGTGTTCCCCATCACCTCCTTACTTTATTCTCCTTTTGATATAAGAAAGATGAGACTCAGATAAGTTCCCTGCTCTTTTCAAGGTCACAAAGAGTGTTGGTGGAAGTGACAAGACTAGAAACCCACCAGCTCGACACTGCCTGGCTCTCCTTGAGTCCTCAGCCCAGACCAGGAGAGGAGGATAAGCATCCAGACTGGGCCTTATCTCTTGAGGAAAAGGCAGGAGCAGATATAACTTCAGAAGGCAGAGTTAGTCCTTGCCACCCAACCCCTTTCCTTCTTGTCCTCCTACCTCTTCCCACCTCCTGGTACCTTTCCACTTTTATACCCTGCCCAAGATGACATACCTAGTGATGCCCTCCCACATGGGCCTACTCTCCTGCACAGGATACTGTGCTCCCAGATCACCTCATGCTCCTTTGTTCTCCCTGATTCAACCTCTCACTGCCTCCCACTTTACCACCAACACTGTGTCTAGGAGAGAGACTCCATCCATCCAGTTAATACATCTAGAGCTCCCATTCTCCAGCAGGCACCAGGCTAGGCAGTAGTGATTTAGCATGAACAAGGCGAGATCCCTGTCCTTGTGGAGTTTACATTGAAGTTGTCAGAAAAGATCACTAAATTACAGCTCCACGTGGTAGATGGTATGGGGGGAATTTGGAATTTTCTGGGAGCATAGAGCCAGGAGATTTAACCCAGGCTAGGGCATCAGGGCAGACTTCCAAAGAGAAGAGACTATTTGGCTAAGATTTAAAGGACAAACTCTCCCAGTAAAGGGAGAGAAGGGCCTTCTAGTTGGAGGAACAGCATGTGTAAAAGGCCAGAAGGGAGAGGAACTGAGAGAGGATGCACAGACCCGCAACCAGGGAAGGTAGGGAATACAGCAGCCACCACCTGCAAGCTCTGCCTTCTCCAATCTTAGTCCACCCAAATCCTTTAGGCACTCAGCACTCAGCCAAAGCCCAAAACCTTCTCCAAGTCAAGGCTCATTGTCTGGCCCTTCCTTCCTCCTCTGCTTACAGCCACAAAGTTTAGCACCAAGTTAATTTTAACCAATACTGACTTTTCATTCCCTGAATACGTTATAAGCAATTTGAGAGAAGGACCATGGCTTTTTTTCCTTTTTTTTGATTTTCCCTCACAGCACTGAGGACCTAGCTCAATTTGTTTCCTTGTCCCAGGGAGCATGGCTTTTTCTGCAACCTCCAGGTCACAGCTGTTTGCAAACTTTTATGATGTGTCTTCATAGGAAACTGCATTTGAGTCACAGGCAAAGAGATATCTGAATAAATCCTCCATCTTTTAATAAGGAGAAAGAATTCACAAGGTCTTCTAGGAACATGTCCAGATAAAATGAGGCTGATTAAAATTTTAAAACTCTAAACTTTTATTATAATTGCCACTCATACTTTTTGTCATTGCCATTTATTAATAGGTTTTTTCTATTTTTGTTTGAAAATAGAAAATTCATTTTTTAAAAACTCTCCAAAGCTTTACCAGTCTCATTTTACAAATTCGTTCTTATAACATTTATTTAATGTTAGTGTTTTCCCATTTTTTTTCTTTTTGGCTAATACCATTGAGAGTGATGTCACATTGAGAATCCACAGTGAAGAGAGAGCTAGTGTTGGGGTGCTCATTCCATTCCTCTAGCATTCAGTCCCTTTGTCCATTTCTGTGCTTGCCCCCAGCATCTGAATTGGGTTGCCTCACTGAACGGGGTAGCCCCACCATCTGGCACCCAGGCATTGACTGGCCTCAATTACTGGCATACTTATGTTTCAAGGACTTTGTGGCCCCGACTTAAGCACAAGTTTTAAATGGGAGTAAATCTCATATAAGCTTTTCCATTTACTCTCCTGCTTATTAAAAGTGAATAATAATGGAAAACCCTAAATGTCAGAGACTCTGGAAAATTGGACATAATGGGCAGTGTTCTCCTTAGTGGCATAACCAGTAACAGTGGGCCTAATGGAAAGTCCACTGTGGGATTATCTGTATTTCTATGCAAGAAAATTACTCTCCTTCTTTCTCCAACGGAGGTAATTCTGACCAACAAGGTTGGCTATCTTAGACCTGGTGTTGGAGAGCAATGGAAAGGAGAGTGAATAGTGGGAGCAAGCTTACCAGGGTTCCTAAGGCCATTGCTTTAGTGTCCCACCATATCTGTAAGGCCTAGGGGATGCTGTGCAGTCCTCCAGAGATAGCCAAGGAAGATGCAGAGCTGAGGCCATTCTCTGTGCTTGTAAACAATAAGCACACCCCATAAAGTCAGGAATAAGCCCATGAGAATGGCCCATATCCCACGGTCCCACAGCACCTCATCAGCTGCACTAGCATGTTCTGCAGATCTGCTGCTAGTGGGCCTCAAGTTGTAAATATATTTGCTAATGGATCAAAATAAAATCTCCTAGCAAAAACTGGACCTTACAAGTAATTTACATCCAGCCAGCAACTTATACATCTATGTCCCACAGCAGCCCACTGTAAAGCAACATGAAGGCTTCCAAACTGATTACCTTGTCCATATGAAAATGCCAATTTTATCCAGCAACATTGCTGTGCTTTCAGATTTCTGTAGATGCCAATGCTGTAATGAATGTTCTGACCCTCAGGGTGTCATCCACAGCCAGGCTCTGTGCCTGTCTTTTGCAAAACTTACCAAATCTCTGTCCAAAAAAAGTCCAAGACTAGGTTGATAACAGATTTATGTGTCAAAGGAGAACACATAGACTTTGGATAACTTTACTCCAAAAGAATTCTCTTGCTCTCTCAAGCCCATTCTGTTAATAACATGTTTAGTTCTGTTTCCAAGCTTGATTTTTTTTTATGGTAACAATTTGATTATTGAAATTCTTTAGCTTTGTAAACCATGGCACAAACTGTTCCCCCATGAAGAAACACAGCTTTCCATAAGCCTTCCCCAGAAACACAAGCATTAGAGGAGGGGATGTGATTTGATTTTTAGTAAGTAATCTTCCTAGCACTTCCCAAAGAGAAAGAAAGAGAGAGAGAGATACAATTTCACATACAGTTTTACATGTTGTAAAGCATCTGTGGAGATCAGAGGATAAAAGTATTTCCATGACAGAAACTTAAAATCTTAAGAGAATTTTCTTTTAAGCTCTTCACTGGCCAGTGGAAGAGTTGACCGCAGCTTTTTCCTTCATGTATAGAAAAACACTAGGCAACTTGGTAGTGAAGCAGGATTTTTCTTGGCCACTTTTGATGCAGAAATTTTCTTGGCCAATTTGCCAACTGGGACCTCCACTGGCAACAACTCCCACACCCCACCCTGTGTTATAGCTTGTACCCACATTCTGTGTTTCCCAAGCTTTTGCCCCACATCCAAGAAGAATGAGGATACACTGACAATTTGAAGGGTGAGAAGGGTGGAGAAGAATTTTATTGAGTGACAGAACAGCTCTCAGTGGAGATGTAGTCAGGTGGTTTCTATCTCTCCCAGTGTGGCTGACTCTGGGACTTTTTATGGACTCAGCATGGCAAGTGCATGCAGTTTGCGAGTTTTCAAAAACGGTTAAAGCAAAGACACTCAAAGGTGGGCACAACAGTGTAGAAAACCAATTAGGAAAGGGTAGGCATACGTAAAATAGGTAAAGGGTGGGATCAATCAGAGGAAAATGTGCCAAACAGGAAGAGGGGTTCTCAATCCGGTCTGTGGATTTGATTTGTAGCATGGCTTTCAGGCTTTAAACTTTTTCAGCTTGGAGGTGGGGTTTCACCTGGGATTCGCCCCTATCTGCCTAGACATTTGTCTGCCTTCTGCTGCTATCAGTGGGATTACAAATAGACTCACATTTTTAAAAATTGTGGCCTCCCTTTTTACCGCCACCCCACCCCCACCACCAAGTAGCAAAAGATGTTTTTAGATCCTGAACATCTCAAAAGTAAAATCTAGAGTTGACTATCAAAAAAGGCAGCCACTAGTCACACATGGCTATTGAGCACCTGAATGTGGCTGGTGAGAAATGACATGTGCTATAAATGCAAAATACACTCTGGATTTTCAGGGAAGTAATATGAAAAAAAGAATAAGAAATATTTCTTTAGTGATTTTTATATTAAGTTGAAATAACATTCTACATATATTGGGTTAAATAAGATATATTAGTAAAAATTTCACCTGTCTCTTTTTATGTGTTATAAATGTGGTTACTAGAAAATTTAAAAGGCTCATGTCATTGATGTTATGTTTCTGTTGGACATGCTGGTCCAGAGGACTAGTCTGGAAGATGCTTGTGAGAAGGGGGAATGACATGATTTCCATACAGGCCCTGAGTTCAACTATTTTGATTTTTAGTCACAGTTCAGAAATTATGGGTCTCTGCCCTTTCTGGTTTTCTATTAGGTCAGCCATGACTTTGCCTTTCTAGGCCAATTCCTACCCCAAACTTCTTATTCTCAGGCAGAAGTCCTGCATGCTCTAAGCCAGCATGTTAGGGGTTTGGGGTGTTTTCTTCAGAGGTGGCATTTCACTCTGTTAACCCAGGCTGGAGTGCAGTGGCAATCACAGCTCACTGCAGCCCCGACCTCTCAGGCTCAAGTGATCCTCTTGCCTCAGCCTCCCAAATACCTGAGATTACAGGTACCATGCTGAGTGTTTTATTAAAGCAAACAAGCATTTAAGGTCTCTCTACTACTTCTTGCCTGCATCATCATCACAGAGAAGAAAGAAACTTGCACCCTTTAAAACCTTGTTCTAAGTATCTGTACATTTATTGGATTATCTGTTCTACATTATTTTTGAAAAATTCTTGAGACACCAATATTATCCTCGTTTTACTAAAAAGGAGCCTGAGTTGACTACAGCAATAATGATGACTCATGTTTGCTGAGATCCATATAATTTGCAATTAATTTCTAATATATTTCTTCTGATAACCCTATGATATAAATGTTCCAAACAAGAAAATTATCTTTAGAGAGGGCTCAAGCACCTGGCCCCACAGCTGATAAACAGAGGAGCTAGCATTTATTCTTTCAACACATGTTTATTTGTTGTTCTAAGCAATGGTAAACACGGATATGGTCCTTTGATGGAGTTTGTATCCTAGTATTCACAGCACCCAAGTGTTAAGTGCTCTACTAAGAATCAAAATAGGGTGTTAAGTGGAAAAGCAATGGATATCTTCCATTGTCTCATTGAAAATGAGATCTGAATTACAAGAGGAAGCTGCCACATTAAGATCAAGGGACAGCAGCAGGTGCAAAGCCTGCAAGGCTGGAAAGAGCTTGGCACTTGGAGGAACTCAGAGGCCGGTGGTGATCGGTTGGCAGTAAGGTCAGAGACAGCAGGGAAGAGGGCCATGCAGGCAGGCTTGTAACCTGAGGAAAGGCATTTGGATTTTACTCTGTATGTAACATGAAGGCATCCTGGAGTAGGGGGCTTAGCAGGGGAGAGACAAGTGTCCTAGTGCCCTTCGTGCCCTCCACACTTGGACACTGCCTGCCTCTAACATTCTACAAGGACCACCCAGGATGAAGTGGGAAGAATCAGTTGTGAAGAATCAGGCCAGAGTGAAACTGGGAGGTCAGTGACGAGGTTGGTGCAGCAGTCCTGGGTGAGAGGCAATGGTGGTAGCCCAGTGTGGACCCAGTGGGAACGGTGAGAAGTGGATGGAGTCTGAGTTTTTGGTGATAAAGCCAATGAGACTGGCTGATGGATGGCTTCTCCCTCTTTACACCTGACTGTCCCTCCCGCTCCCTTCACTCCTGCAGTATCCATCCAAAAACACTAACCAGGGAAATCTAATTCCTGTTCACCCCATAGTAACGCCCAGAAGGCAGAATGAAGCACTGATAGTCATTATTTATCACCCCTTTGTTTTGCTTTGTTAATTCGTTGTCCTGCCTAGCTGTTAGCCTCTTAATTGTTCAGGCTGACCTTTAGAAACACATTCAAGATGAATAAGGAGGCCTTGCTATATTCCAAAATCATGTCAGTGAGAATAAGCAAAATGATTCTATTCTTTCACTTTCCTTTTGACTGGCAGGAAAATAAGCTGTTCATGCATTCATTTGCCCTACTACCATATGAAAACCAAAAAAGCAGAAGCATGCAATGTCATATATGCAGTCATCAGTCATTGGCAAATGTACAAAGCACCCTGCAGCACACTCCTGAGTAGGGAATGAGGGAGGAAAACTGTATTTAAGAACTAGATGTTGGCCAGGCATGGTGGCTTATGCCTGTAATCCCAACACTTTGGGAGACCGAGGTGGATGGATCGCTTGAGGCCAGGAGTTCAAGACCAGCCTGGCCAGCATAACAAAACCCCATCTCTTCTACAAATACAAAAATTAGCTGGGCATGGTGGCACAGGCCTCTAGTCCCACCTACTCGGGAGGTTGAGGCACAAGAATTACTTAAGCCCGGAAGGCGGAGGT